TCTAAGTGCGTAGCAAAAGTAATGAATCTAGAAAAGCCAAAACGTCTTATAATTTGGAATGGGTTGAGTAACTAATTACAGGTTTACAGCATCTGTCTCTGAGCCAACATAAAAAAACAAGTTGTATATAATTGGTAAAAAAAAAAACTTGACTACCTAGATTACGCAATAAGATCAGCACAGAGCACACAGCTCCAACCACAAAATCTTGTGGAAAAGCTAAGACAATTCATTCAAGGATAAGTTCTGGCTATAGAGACTGAGTAACTAAGGGCATGTTTGTTTCACCGCCGAACTGCACCTAGCCTAAGCTACGGCTGCGCCAAAAGTGCAGCGAACAAAACGGCCACCACACCTGTGGCGTGAGTTGGCGATGAACTATGAGCCTGTGGCGTGAGTGCGGTGTGCCTAAACCGTGGTGGCAACCAAACAGCGCTGCAAGACGCTGCAGTTTTGGCGTGATGATCTGTGGCACATGTAGGTGTGAACCAAACATGCCCTAAGCCCTAAATATAGAAATTGTACATGGAAAAGGGAATGGTGCTGAAAACATAAGCATACGACAAAACATAAAACCTAATCAGCATCACCAGCGGAAAGCATATGAGATCATTCATGTACCTCATCAGCTTCAGGAGATGTGTTGAAGGAAGCCCATCCTGCGTCCACAATTCCACGTCTATTCCCTTAACATTTGAAATCTTTGACTTGATGCTGATACTGACCTCATTGTTAGAAATAGACTCTCCAGAAGACAAATATGAGTGTTTCTGGATTAGATCAGCCAAGCTGCAGTGGCACCTCTCAAGGGAGATATAAACAAAATCACTGTCATGGTCACAACCATAGAGTCTAACAATATTAGGATCACGATCAGATATAATAAGATTCTGAGTCTCCTTTTCAGCTATGTCATTGTGGGAACGCAGCAGACGTTTCACAGCAACTTGACGACCATCATAAGATCCTTCAAAAACAACTGTGCCATTGCTCCCTCTACCAATTTCTTTATTGGAGACATATAGTTTACCAATCTGACGACCACCAAGGGCATCTGTTAGCGCAGAATTTTCCATTGGTGCCTCAGTTGACCCACCAGTTTCACTGTACTCCTTGACAGATGCTATCAAGGTCTCAGGGCTATTGACGAGTCCATCCTTCTTCCGTGTTTTTCTTTTTTTAGGAGTTCCCTCTGACCTGCCTCTAATGTCCACTGATTTCTTGTTGTGCGTGAATGGCTTAATAAGCTGAATCACAAATTGCCTGCATGACTTGCTTGCAGAGATCAAGCTCAACAGATAACCAATGACCAAAAATATGGGAAACAAAGGGAATAACCATCCATAAGTGTTCCTAGTGGGGTTTTTGGTAGCTTCGGGATCAGCAGAGATGACATGAGATCGAGCACCATCATAAGTTTGATTTTGAGAATCATCCAATACGATATTTGACTTCCCAGCAGTGTTTGGTAGCTTCCTTGAGGTTTGAACTGGTTCCAGAGCATCAGAACCATGGATGGAAATAAAAGGGGTACCATCTTTCAAGACAATTACATTAGCTGAATCTGAATCAGGTAAAGCAAGTGGCAAACCCTCAGTTCTAATGCATGGAATATCTCCTCGCAGGCAAGGTGACTGATCAAGCATGTCAGGGTGGTTGTATTTCGCATATTGGTTTGCAGTGAAAGAAGTTCTTGTCCAGTTAAATAAATGCTTGCCAAGATCTGATGCGCTGATAGAATAGTCAGTTCTCACAAGCACTATGATCTTATCACTGCCATCACTAGTACGGGCATTTAGCTTGGATGGTGCTCCTTCAATCCCTGGTCCTTCCAATTCATTTAACGCAGCTGGAATACTGTGCCTGTAAATAATCTCACCACTATCAGCATTAACTACAAAAACGGTTGAAACTTTTGATCCAACAGTAACAACAGAATCCCGAATATATGGGCTTCTGGCAACGAATTCCTCCAATTTCCATGGGAGTCTCTGCAGGAATAGAGAGACAAGGATGAGAAACAAATATCTGCACAAGGAAGGTTTCAGAGAAGCACTGCGCCTGAGAAAATCATACCACGTTGTTCCCATTATAAACCTCCCAAAGTTCAGTCCCATTCCCATCCATCAAAGGATAAATGAGGTAATTCAGACCAGAGTCAGTGGTAGTAATATGATCTGAGAGCGGAGGCCCTGTGGTGATTTCCCACAGAGGAGACTGTGACAACTGGTCCACAAGCTGAATTGTGCCATTGTCATAAAACTGGAGCACAGGGCTGTTCACAAAGACAATCAAAAGTCATTCCAGAGTCAATCAGACATGCCAACAAACCTAGGTGCATAACTGGTATGCCACTTCCAGATGCCCCAAGAATGTACTAAACATGAGTGAGTAGCCCTCAGTAGCACAAGAAGTATCATGCCAAACCAGTGGCCACACTCCAAGAAACCTAATCAGCAAGGGTTCCTCCTTCCGTGCTCCAGAGCAGCACGAAACAAGAGCATGCCCAGAATGCTTCACTTTTGAGATAAACCAAGAAAGCCCCTTCGCTACAAGAAACCTCATGCTACATTTCGTGCTGTCTATTGGTTCAAAAGCTCGCCAATTCGGCCAAGAAGCGGCAGCCGCGCACAAACGACGCCACCGCAACAGGAACGGGGAAGGGAGACCACGGGGCTCACCTGGGTTCGGCTTTCGCCTCGCCGCTAACCAAGTTAGCCGGCTCGTGGCGCGCAGGCTGCGGCCGGACAAGGAGCTCCCGGAGGCTCTGCTTCTTGGGCGCCGCTGGGGCGACGATCTCGGTGGAGCGCGCCCCCACCGCGACGATCTCCGTGGAGCGCGAAGCCGCCGCCGCCCCATCGTCCTCCGGAGCGGCTCCTCCGGGGAGCGCGAGTCGGGGCGGAGGAGCGGGAAACGTGGGGGGCGGGGGCGGGGGCGGGAGGAGCGCGGCGCCGCCGTCGTCCACGCGGAAGGCGAGCCCCGCGAGGAGGACGAGCGGGATGAGGACCCGGCGGAGCGACCTCATCGGCTGCGGGGCATGCCTAGCTAGGGCTTGTTCGGAGGGGGGGAGGTGGGGTCCGGATCTGGTCGGAGCTTGGACTCCGGGAGAGGATTGATTGCTTGGCGAGGAAGGGGATGGGGGAGACGCGGGAGGAGGCTTCTCGAAGCGGGGTGTGATCTGTTTTTCCGCTTCGCTGTTGAGAGTCAAAAGCGATGGCTGCGGCGGCGGCAGCGTCGGACGGTGGTTCGTAGGAACGGACAGCCAAGTTTCAAGAAAAAAAAGAGGTAACTACAAGCGTGTCCAAGCATATATACCTAAAAATATAACCCAAAAATCTGGTTTTGCAACTTCTCAAATAAATATTAGAAAGAAAAAATAACCCCTCACTAACAAATCCCAATAATTTACACCTAAAAATATAAAATAGGACTATTTAAATATTTTTTACAGTTGTTCGTGACATATAGATGATGCTGCCAACTGCCCCTAGAGATGTCAATGGGGTATTCTTCGTTAGGAGGTTAAGTTCTTATCCCTTCCAGCATCTGCATCCGATTATTACGGAGGCTCAAAACAAGTTGGTGAACGAAGAGTATCAAGGGAGTGTGTCTAAGGATATGTGTTTCTTATAACCTTAGTGGCCAGGGATGTTTGGAAGCATCAGAGTTCTTGTGTATTTGAGTGTTCTTTACCAAATGTTCATAAGTTGCTACATGCCATTGAAGATGAGGATGAGTGCAGCCTCTAGTGCTTGCATCTAAGGTTGGAGTTTTTCCTCTCTTGGTAATTGAGTCTAGCATCTTAGGCTATGGGTGTTTGGTCTTGTTGGTCTTTTAGTTTCTTATTTACAAGTGTATGTACTTAGGCTGTGTTTCTTTTCCTCGGCTCAGTGTTCTTTTATCCTACCTTAATGAAACGATAACACAAGGCTCATGGCTCATCCTATATCTGCAAAACCCAAATTTTAAATTTATTATTAGAAAGGTTATGAAACTAAGATTGTTAGGATGATTTCTTTTACCGTTGGATATGCTTTAATAAAATTGTAAGACCCTCTTTGGATTGTAGGGAAAACAAAGAAAATGAAGAATTCATATATGAATTGAATTACTATAACGTTCTTTGGTTTGTAGGAATCAGAAAAGTGTACAAAACTTTCTTTTGTACTTGATTTCATAGGAAACCCACATGAGAAAACACATCCACTTAAGCCGCATGTTTTCTCGCTCCTTGTATTTTTTCCGAGGTTGATCCAAACACCTATTCCTACAAAATTCCTGTGCTTCCCATTCCTTTGTCTTGTATACACATTTCCAACTTATTCTTGTTTTTCTCCCTCAGCTACCGCGATTGTCCAATTTCAAGCTAATTTCAAGCCATGCACCATAACATAGAGCATGATTTTAGAAAAAAAATGAAGCTAGTTTCATAGTTTTCCAAGCTAAAAACAAAAATTCTAAGATTAAATCTAGTTTTATGATTTTTAATTGCATTATTCTTTCTTGTAGAAATATATTTGGATAGTTTTTTTTTAAATATGATTTCTAAGATATTTTTTGTGAAAACATTTTCTAGTCCGATTAATCATCTCCTTTAACTTTTAACTTGGTTCAATTTATCCTCAGCAAAACCATCTTCAAAACCGCTCTGGTGCAAAAATAAATGATTTTTAGAAGTTGAAGGGGTTTAGAAACTGAGTTTATAATTCAGGACAAAAAAATCGTACGGCCTCCATCAACCACGTCAGTTTTTTTAGTTTTTTTTTATCTTGAGAAACGCGTCAATTTTTTTGTTTTTTTATTAGGGAGTTAAATCCCGCGTTCAAGGCGGGCCTAAACGAGGTAGAAGGGCTTTCTGGGCCTCTAACGGGCCGGACCAGCTATCAGCCACTCGCTCAAACGGTGATTCCTTCCTTCCCTGCGGAGGGCCACCGCAACACATCCGGCCGTCCTGTCCCCGGAGGTCGCCGCCGCCGTCTTCGTGGGCGGCCGTACCGGCGATGATGAACAGCATCAAGTCGGCTCTCTTCTCCGGCCACCGTCCGCATCCCTTCGCGGCGGCGGCGGCGGCGGTCCCGCAGCAGCAGCTGGGGGGCGCTGCGCCGTTCCACTCCACACCCGTTCTGCAGCGGAAGCGCAAGACCCAGTGGCACAATGTAAATAAGTAATCCCACCTCCATCCGCTCCCCTTTTCCTGCAATTTCTTTGATGACAAATGGTGTCTCCTTCTGTTTGATCCGAGCGTTATTTTTATCTGGGCCGGAATATGTTTGATGGGATGGAAAGCCTGTGTGGAACCAGGTCTGCCGCACCATTGATGTGCTTTTGAGGATCACTCATTTGGTGGACTATTATTCAGGGAACGATTGGTGAAGCGTTCATGCAGAATCCTATTAGATAGTTTCGCATTATAAAACTAATGTTACTAGATTTTATCTGGTGTGTTTGTTTTTCCTTGTTATCCTTCTCTTCACAGGGTGATAGATGCAAAAATTGAGGATACTCTTGCCCTAAAAAAATAAAAGAGTTGGGAACTTGGGATACTCAAGCTTGCTCTTTGATGTTTGTGGACTGTTCCTCTGTGCTATTGGGCTGCTTTCTGCATTGCTCATCTCTCGATTGCAGCCGATTTGAACTTGGGCTAAACCTACAAGTATCAACATAGATGTTCATGACCTACAAGTTAGTATTTTTTTAACTAATTTTGGAAGTGTTCAAAGTGGATCTAGACATGCCTATGCTTACTCAGATCTTCACCCTCCCGTTTCGTGCTTAATAAAGCAGTTGCATATGGAACTGATCCAGTTTCATCAGGACATCAGGTTGCTGAGGGCTTGGCTTGTGGTCAGGGATGCAAGTTCCACTTGTTTTGGCCTTTTTTGGGTCGATGAGTCCACCCAAAACTTGCTAAATGAACTAAAATGACATCCAAGTAATTAATTTATGGGGAGAAATGAACTAAAATGGCATGCCATCGTAATTAACTTAGGGGAAGGGGGGGAAGTAAAATGACAGCACCATAATTAATTAGCTGACCCAGAAAAATCATTAAATACCCACCTGCATCCCTACTTGTGGTAAATTACGCTGTGCTTTTCAAGATGAATCTTTTAATCGATGTTATACTCAAGAAACTTTGTTCAACAGTGATTGGTTCAGCCGGTTTCTCTGTTTTGCCTGCTTAGGTTTCAATGGAATAGCATTCTATCTTTCTAGAAGCTTGTGCTAACTGATCAGTCACAAGAAACGTTGTTCCTTACTACAATACAAAATAGTTTGTGCTTCGAATAGAGAAAGAACCAATGCGATATACCTTATGCTTGAGCAGAGATTCAACTATTATACGAGACGTAGGAAGAACAGAGAAACTAAAAGGTCGATGCTACGGAACATGTCAGAGTATGCAGAGCATCTTTTCCAGGTCAGTGTAATGAAGCATTTCACATTTTCATGATATTTCAGTTTTGATCACAAATCCTGTAAGTCTTCTGATCTTGTTATTCTTCACACTAGTTCAGTATATTAAAGTATTATATTTTTATCATATTCCCTTGCATACTAAAGAAAAAGTCCTGAAAGCATTAGAATGGTCTGTTGGGTTCCAGAAGCTCTTACTAGATTCCACATCATAGCACAACAATTGCAAGAAGACTGGGTAGTGTTCGGAATCAGCTGTTCATGCAAGAAGACTGGGTAGTGTTTGATGCCTTAAACCTGGGGGCTTTTATGTCTATATAAGGACTCCAGTACTCAATATGAAAGAATGTGCCTTTTTTGTGAAATTTGGGATAGAGTAAAAAAGAACCCTCTTATTTTTGAACCCCTCCCCCTCCCTCTCCCTGTTCTGTTTCTGCTTTCCATTGTTTAAGGCATTTTTTAGTTCATTTCGCTCTTGCTAAAATGTTGGTTCAGCTTTCAATAATGTCTCTCAAATGCTTAATGCAGATACAGAATGTTCTGTTCCATTTATATTTTTATATTTTTCTTGATGTTCAGAGTTGGCGTGATGAAGATGAGAAAAATGATGCATCTAGTGGGCCTTCATGGTTTAGAGGACATCGCTGGGTCAGGAATTCAAACAACAATGGTTTCCGTACACATGATTTTTATTCTGGGAATTTCGGAAGCAAAGGTTCAATACCTTTTCCTTTTCCTATCTTATAAGATATTTCAGTTATTCTTCTCTATAGATTGTAACTTGGATTGAAAAGTTCTTCTTCTGGCCTTCAATGTCCAGCAGTTTTTGTCAGAAATGTTACAGATGTATATAAGTGTGCAAGGCATCTTATGTTATGAAAATTAGAATTACTTCGATGATATCAATGCCTTTTTACTAGCCAGCATACCATGGATCTTGTGGAGTGTAAACTTTAGTTATTTGTTGTTTGGCTACAGGAGGATTTGATTTTTGCACGAGTGATGAGGATGAACCAGAGAATCTGTTTCGTAATGTTTTCCGAGGCCAACGCACATATTATTGGTCATTTTCATCTGATAATTTTCAGAGGAACTCCAGACGTGCTCGCTCAGAAAAATCCAGAAACTGGAGTTCTGAAACAGAAACAGACGAGGAGGATGAAGTACCAGCTCCATCAGAGGTATCTTTGGCACGACAAGCTCTTGGATTGAGCACTTCTGGTCCGCTAAAACTTGAAGATGTTAAAAGCGCGTAAGATCTTTGAGCATTTTTATGGCTTTGAGTCCTTTTTTCCTTTTTGGCAGAGATTGTGTGTATACTTCCTTTTGAACTGTTCCAAAGATTATTTGACTATTTATTTCCTTTCTTTGATACTAGATACCGAGCATGCGCACTTAGATGGCATCCAGATCGCCACAGTGGATCATCTAAGGTATTGTTCTACATCCAATCCAAACATTCAAAAGTTTATCTTTCACTTGCTTTACAAAATTATGTGTCACTTTTCTTTCTCTGAATAATGTGCTGTTAGTCTTTCACATAAGTCCTCAGCATACACGAGGTACCACTGTGAGGTAGGATTGAACTGAACATCAAACAATATGGTTATATCAATTAACTAGATGCTGAAGTTACAGATCATGTCCCCCCCTTTTCACCCTTTACCAAATAATTTTTGAATGCACCTGTCTTTTATGAGAATGCACTATATTATCTTATAAAGCTAATACATTTTCACTATGATCAATAAGGATCCGTCATAGATTCTTTGGAACAGACATATTAGTCTGTGTTTCACGTTTTTACGACTATCCTGTGCCCGATTTAGTAGAAGACATAAAATTCTGGTTCAGATTGAGTCCACCATAATGTTATATCTGGGAGAGGCTGCATCTTTGTAGTCAATGTTTTGGATGTTTGTCTTTAATTACAACACAAATAATTAATATTGTTATTTTACATAGCTAATTAAGCATATGGGGTTTGTTTGATGGGCAGGCTACAGCGGAGGAGAAATTCAAGCATTGCAGCGCAGCATACAAGACCTTATGTGATAGTTTCGCTGCTGCATAGATAATTTTGCTGGTGCATAGATAATTTTGAATGAAGATGGACTCTGGATGAGTCCCTTTCAAACTTTCTAGCTGCAAATTCTGAAGAGCTGCCACATGCTTGTGGTAGCTCCTACCACCCTAATCACAAGAGTCGCATTTCTCTTGGCTCTTTGGGGGGGATTGTGTAAACTCAAAATTGACCAGATAATATGAGTTCTGTACCATGTAAAATCTTTTCTCAGAGCTTATTGTTGTATTCTTTATAGAGATAGGAAGACATTGTTCATACCACAATTTAGGTTGGATGTTTTTTATGGGTTTGTGTGATGACAGACGATTACATTTACATTACATTATCATCTTTGTTGCTGACAAAGTTCTTGTGGACCGTGAACCATCTGATATTGGCTATGTTTTGCCTCATGTTATTTGTTCATAACTAGTCCTTTGGACTTGGACATTTTCTTTTTTTCTACATGCTGCTCTGGAAATAGATTGCATGTTCCGGAGGGGTGCCAAATTTCAACAGCACATAATTCGTCAGGTTAATAGGTACGGCTACGTGATTTCAGACACTCAATTCGGACACCATTTTATAATAATGAGAATGACGAGCAGTCACATTCAGTCCTGAAACAGAAATCGGGCAGCACGAACAGGAACCTGACAGCATGTTCGGTTGGCTGGTTCGTATCGTTGCTGTTGCTGGTTCGTGAAGAAGTACTACTGGCTGGTTTGTGTGAGAGAAAAATACTGTTCCGGCTGAAAATTTACGATCGTTTACGACAAGCCACAGCCAAACGAACAGGCCGTGAGTGGATGTACGGGCTCATCAAGAAAATAAAAGTTACTCTACTTGCAAAAGGGCATTTTGAGATCTACTTTCTACCATGTCTTCTAGGAACTTTATTAGAGTAATAGAAACATCATTCCATGGTCTTAAAGTTACATAAGAAATTCTCTGAGAAATCTGGTTTCAAACAGGCCTTGACAGAATGTTGCCATAAAAAAAAATGCTCAGCTGCCTTTTTTTGAGAAAACAGTTCGAGTACATGAAAACTAAGTAGACACAACCTAAGTTTTTTTTTTCTAAAATAGGGTCAGCTATACACCAGTAAATTTTAAATTATGTCACTTGAACTAGTCACATCTGACATCAGGTGTGCTCATCAATGAAATTAAGATATATGTTCACACATCCTTCATTAGGGTGTCATGTATTTGCAATGCGTAAATGGACAAGCATGTGCTGGTTAAGCCTGGATATCCTTATCTTGTTGTCGATATACCTGCAATGAGAGATAAAAAAAAACTCATTCTAGTTCTCTGCTATCTTGAGCCGCCACTCACCAGAAACCAAAATTTTCTTAAGTATAACTTGCATATTTAGATTTCAGGAAATCATGAATGACTCACAAGATTTCCATGACAAATTCTCCTTGAGCATCCAAGGGAAACTGTAAACCACCAACTTGAACAGCTCCTTCTTTCATGGACACGGTAAAGGTGTTGCCACTCCCTTTTTTGCTGCAAGTGCAATTCAAAGCTGAGTCAGAACTGGAAACCAAAATGCACTTACGCACAATAATTTGTACAGCCTTGTACACCCTGTCTTACTGCAAAACGTTCATTTCCCTCCCTGTATGTGCACAGCTTATTTATATGTTTGCACTTACAAAAGTAAGTATAGCATAATGTTTCCTTCAGGTAGAAGCCAAACTGCTTCAACAATTATAGATCACGCATGCTAGAGGAGTAGAGTAATGACTTCTGTTTTTTCTTCATTAAGATAAGATGGTCTTGCACAAATGCAAACTATCGTTGACAGGAAACACAAATAAACATTTATTCTTGAAGGCTCTACAGACTTACCATATGTTGCCTGTTGCATTGAGGGTGATACCTGGGAAGGGGCTAGCCGAATTCTTTAATTTCCCGTCTTCTTTTATAATCTAAACAGAAAGTCCATGTTACTATTAGTCATGTGAGATGCCCAGTGCCAATAAACACACTAAAGTATCACACTATCACTTTACTGTTTGAGTTCATTCTGAAACTGACCTGGAAGTCCTTGAGACCGGCAGATGCAACAGATGACCAACTTTCACCTTCAGTCTGAAACCATAGAAAGGCAAAGCACTTTCAGGACTCCAAAATGTATGCAAATAACCAGTATGAGAGTCTAGTTAAGTATCCAGATTAACCTGTGAGCTCCACAATAGTTGCCATTCACCCACCAGAATGCTTAGATCAGTCTTTGTTCCATTTTGGCTTGAAATAAAATCATTGATGACCTGTTTAGCCAAAAAGAAAGTTTGTACACATAACTTGTCTCCATTTAGTGCGACGATGGATGATACAAGCTGTAATCACACACCTCTTCTACTCCTGTTCTTGCAGATATAGCTGACAATAAGATTTGTCTTGGGTCTGCACTCTTCTGTAGGACAAAGGTGGTTCCCTGCACTACAGATTGTTTTGAAAATATGATGAAATACAAGCAGGTTTATACGAAGCCAAATAGTTTCTATATAGAAGGGTTATGGACTTGATATGCTGCAGATTTTTACTAAATCAGGAGATTATGCACACAAATTGAAACCTTAAATGCTTCAAGGCTGCATTTCTGAACATTCCGATGTTGTTAAGGTAGTAAAATAGCATCAAGATTATGTCATCGTACCTTGTTTCCCCTTGAAATACGTATGTTCCCAGTGTGGGATAAGTATGTTGTGTCAAGCCAACCCTTAGCTTCATCTCCAAGAAGTCTAAATGGCACTGGGTATGGAACTTTAAATGGAAGAAACTTGAAGGTGAATGCTGCTCGGTCAAAACGGAAAAGTATGCGCTTTCCATCCTTAATAGTTGCTTCTGCCTGGTTTTATTTTCATAAAACACCTTATTTTAAGTATTGTATTAGAAATTTAAAGTAACAATCCCTAAGGCAATACAAGTATTTATTTCTTTACACTTAACTCTCACTAAGGCAGCATAGTAAGGCCTTATTTCTTTACAGTTAACTCTCGCTAAGTCAGTACAATGCTTTATTTCCAACATCCTTCATGTTTATAATGACAAGATTGATAGTTAATGTTGCAGAACCTTTTCAATTACAGATTAATTTGGATGTTACCACCTATTCTGTTTTGCCTTGGAAGAATAGCAGCAAAAACAGGGATTAGATAACGGAGACATGGAGTTTATTTCGTTGGGTTTAGTAATAGCTGTGTGCTATAATGTCATTTAGTGTGATGCTAAGAGTGTAGGTTTCTAGTTTATCATAACAGAATAGACGTCATTAACAATTGGCAAGGTCAGGTGCATATCTTTCTACTCCCTCCATTCCAAATTTATGACATTTAAGACAAGCTAATTAACAAAAAAATGAACTAATTATCATGTCCTAAATGTTATATATTCTAAAACAGAGGAATATTCTTTTTAATCATGCATTGATAACTTGGTATGCATTTCCTGAATATGAATCCTAAATACCAATTTGTTTTTCACTCGTTAAAGCTTGTTGAAAATTTGGTATTGACATGCTAAGTTGTATGTGTGCATGTAACACCTCAGACATGATTGCTAATTTGCATTGGATACCAAATAAAATCTGACAAGCATCCACTCCCTTTGATAAGTTTATAAGTTTAATAACAAATTTTATAAAGTAGATACATTATTAATATTTCCTGAGTCTCTGTAATGTAAAATTTCATCACTTATATTGGGAAAATTATTCAACCTGACAAGCAGCCATTCCCTTTGATACATTTATAAGCTTAATAACATATTTCGTAACAAGTAGATACATTATTAATATTTCCTGATTCCCTGTAATTTAAGATTTCATCAATTATGTTGGAGTAAAATTAAGCGTGCACACACACATTGAACATAACACCAAAACTTCACTGTAGTTCAAATGCACATAAAAAAAAAAGCTCTTCATGGAATGTAGATACGTTGTTAATTCAGAGAACTGAATTCTAAAATGCATAGTTCGACATGAAAGGTAATAGTAAATGAAATGGAAGGATCAGGGATGCAGGAAGCACAAACAGATGAAGGACTGACTAGGAAAGATGCAAATCCCGAAAGCCCCATGTCAATTGAAACTCAGGTGATATTGACACAGAAATTACCTCTACTTTCAGATCACCAACTGATTCTGAAAACTTGACAACATTGACCACCCTTGGATCATCTGTTCGAAGATACACTTCCTGGAAGATACGGAAGGAGTCAACTCCAACAAACGTCCTCTGCATGAAATGTGAACCAACAATAGATTTAGTCATCCATCTAGAGCTTTCACAATCCAAAGATGAAAGAATACAGACACAGATAGTAAATGGAGCATGTATTTTCAAACAAAAGCGTTTTGATTTACTCCACCTGAATGGGTGATGCTGTCCCTGGTCTCGTAGTGAAGATGAGCTGCCAGCTACCTTCGATTAAACTTGAACTCGTCTACAGAGAAACAATAAAGCTAAGAAGGCAAGCTTTCCTCTAGTTTCAAGTAGAACATTTTGAGCTTTGTTGGGTGCACATATGGTAACAGAGTTTTGAGTTTATTTTTTCCTAAACTAAAAACTCCCTGAGTCCCTTATCTTGAATTCTAAATCAATGCAATACCTCACCAGAATTAGAGCTTAGCTGTTCCAGATATTCATTGTCACATCAAACCAATTCTACCAAAAGGAACAATAGTGTCATTCAGTTAAACTTGTGGAGTCTGTAATATTAATTACATGTTGTTAACTGATTTATTCTGTGCAAGGATATATCATACGAAGCTCTAAACAATCTCCAAAGTAGGAAGCTTCGGCTCCAGCATATTATCGCTGTTAAGGCTGTAAACCCGCTAGTTCAAAGTTCAAACCTCACTAGAATTTCTCTGTACAGTCGGCTTCAACTTAAATATGGAAGATTTAAGCTAACCCATTTGATAATTGACACCTGAAGCATTAATCTTTGACAGTTGACTTCACTAATTAACCACTATCACGGGTAAGCTGATTAGATTATAATCGCACCGGATCAGGAACGCCTCCCAGGGCCTCGAGAGCCTGCACGGCGCTCTCCACTTCCTGCAACCACCACAAAAAGGCGTCAGCCTCCAGTGACACGCCCACCTGCATGTCAGCAAGCACGTGGTGCGCTCGGCAGAGGTCTAGTGAATCGCGAGTCTCTTGCCTGGAGCTGGCGCGGTGCGACGGCGCGGCCGCGGCCCTGGACGCCGAGGAGGGCCTCGAGCAACACCAACTCAGGTTCCGTGTACGCCTCCGCCTCCGCGGACGCTACCGACGGCGCCGCGAGCGCCAGGGCCCGGCGGCGGCGAAGGCGAAGCCGGGGCGGGGTCCCCCAGATGCACGGCGCGCGGGAGGCGCTGGCGCGAGGCGACACGCATCGCGGAGGCGGAGGCCGGAGGCGCATAAGGCCTCCGGGTGCTGCTGGGGCGGTGGCCATGGAGCGCGGGGTGCACGGAGACGGGGCGCGGTTTTCGTGGCTTGCGTTCGCGCCTCTCGTGCGCCGTGCGCGTGGGTGGAGGCAGTGGCTGTCGTTCGATTCGTGGGGGCAGTTGGGTGACCTGAGTCTGTGACCAACAGAACGCTGGGTTCGCGGACCGTTTTTCTGCCAGCGTGGAGGGCATCATTTCTCCTTTTATTAACTTTTATTTTACCATTCGTGTTTTACACCGGTTTGGAATCCAAGAGTTTCACATTAATCACATTAGAAATTAGTTTAATTTTACAGAAAAAACATAAAAACCAGATTTTCTTCGGCCTTCCAAACAAGCCTTAAGCTTTTAAGGCCCAAGGCATCCAAAATGGTGTATCCAATTGTCGACTTTCGCTAATGCTCTTGTCAGGACGTCCGTCCAGATGGAACGTACCCGTCTCGTGCCGTGCGCCCCTGCGCCTCTCCGTCTCGCGCCGTGCGCCTCGCACGGTCGCAACGGACCCACCGCGCGCCTCCTGCCTCGTGCCTCGCACAGTCGCACCGGACCCGCCTTGCGACTCGTGTCGTGCACCCCGCTCGTGCCTCGCACCGCGTCAACTAGTCTCCATCGGACGTCAGCAAGTAGATGAGCACATGTTGCAACCATATGTTTCATGTGTTTCAGATGTAGGTTGCATATGTTTCATCTGGATGTTGCAAAAGTAGATCTGGGATTACATATGTTGCAATGGCTATGCACGTATGTTGCAAATGTACATTTCAAATGTTTCAAATATATGTTGCAAGTGTTTTATCTGAATATTGCATATGTTGCCGTGGCTATATATGTATGTTGCAAGTGTATGTTCTAAATGTTTCACCTCTTTTAGACCTATGTTGCAATATTGCATATGTTTCAGACATGTTGCAAGCGTCTATTCAAAATGTTTCATCTAAGGTATGACGCATGTTGTAAGTGTGTTTATCAGGATGTTGTAGTTGCTATACACATGTTGTAAACGTTTGTTTGTAAATATTTCACCTATTTGGGACGTATGTTGCAGAAGTGCTTTCATGTTGCAACATTAGCAGACGTAGAAAGCGGGCGCATGTAGATGCGGTTCCCACGTGCGTGACAAGCGAAGCAGTCGTGTAGCACGTCAACAGGCATGTGGTGCGGTCCCCACCTACCTGCGCATCAACACAGCAGTTGCATGCGGCATGCGAGGGCAAACGTGCAGGCGCAACAGTGGAGCGTATTCGCGTGGGAACTGTGCATATAGATGAAAAATTGCTGCCACTCCTGCAGCTACATGCCATGCGAGACCGAGGGAGCGGAGCATGTAGGTGGATGCTCGACGCTGGACAGGCACACATGAGGAGGTGAGGCGCAGCAGTCCAGACAGACTACGCGGCGAGGCAGGCGCGGGCATCCAGATGTCCAGGAGCTGTCCATGCTACAATTGACTTTGGCTTTAATCGTTATAGTACGTTAGATTTGCCAACAAAATACTTTAACATGCCAATGTTGTACTAACTCAGATCAACACGATTTCTGTCAAAACTAAATTGACCATGGTAGTTAACGGAGAGAAAATATGAACCACTTATATTAAGTTAAAAAATTTAGATATGAAAGGATATTTTAAAAAAATCGAACACACTAGGCTACGCTCAATTCGCATATATATACTTCCTTATTAATCGTTTATAGCCTATTTATGTTTTGTCATGCAAAGGCTAAGATATTTCTAAGGCCATGAGAGAACTCCGCTGTCTGATTCTTCATCTCTCCTTAATTCTTCGAAAGGAGTAATTTCATTAGATTTAGATTTCTAGGAGGGAGTAGGGTGGAGAGTATATAAGATTCTCTACTGATTTCCACCGTAATATAACAGGAAGTATGGTGAATGGAGAAGTGATTCTCTCATGATCCTCATCAGAACAGTTGACATTTTGAGTGTTTGACTGGTTAGGAGTGATTCTCTTTGAAGAAGTCGAAGCTGGAGCACTCCCAAAGGCCCCTAAGATTTTTTTAACCAAATCTACTTATCTCTGTAATAATTCTGGAATCATCATCATCACACTATAAAAGAGCGAGTTTTTAGGGGCTCTTCTTCTATGATAACCGTTAGATCTTGACACCGTTTTATATGAACCTTTCGTCGTCCAAGATCTTAGTCACCCTCATTGATAACCGTTCGATCCAGACGCCATGTAATATGAGCCTTCCGTCATCCGATCTTACGTTACCCTACGCTTCCTCAATCCCATGGCTCTCTAGGTCACGTCGGGCCCGTCCTATTGGGGGGGGGGGCAGCCTGTGCGATGCCCATGAGCCCATGAGGCTGGGGGCCTATGAGGGTACCAATGTGTATATTGTATAGTAGATGCTATCAGCCCATACGCCGGCAAGGCAACAGTGCGTACCAACAGGCCTGCGCACCAATTGGCGGCGGCCGCTCGTATTCTCGTTCTCGATCGTGAGTGCGTGTTTGCGGACTGCGTGACGGTGTCGGCGTGCTAGGGCCAGGCGCGAGCGCGAGCATGGACATCCCTCCGGCATGGCGGCGTGGCACTGGCATTGCGGTGCGGCGTCCCTCTTCACGGCAACAGCAAGTCGGCAAAGATATCAGGCCTCTTAAATAAACAAATCAATTTGATTACAGTTCAATACTTTTTTAGATACAGTTGATCTTGAAAGTGTTCCTGAAGATTTTGCATCAAGAAATGCCCGAAGACGCTTTTTTAAAAAGCACTGAAGTACCATAGTTTTATTTGAGGTAACCATCATAGTTATTTTACCGTTTTTTATCTTCTTTGATGTATTGTTATCTTTTCAAAAAAAATTATGCTAATTATATACTTTAATCATCATATTATATTACTTTAATCATCATATTCAAATATTACATTGCCGGTCACCTTAGTGTTTCCCTCTCGGTCACAAAGACGGCAACAATACAAGGTCCTTTGGCACTATGCAAAAGAAAATTCTCCGTCGCGTCAAACCCATGAAAAAAACTTTGTAGGACGGTTGTATTTACGAGACACGTTTTGAGCCCAACGAACAATTATTACAACTCCCTCTCGGTCACAGCGCGGCAACAATACACAAACTTCTGCCGGTTTCGTCACGGCACGCACGTTTCCATTGATGTGGTACGACGGGACTATAGGACTCTAGAGTACGTGAAATTAAAAAAAAAACATAGCGGTTCGTCCGCATAAGACTTCTCCTAGGCCTTCGTGGTGGGCCTGGTACCTACCGCTAGAGGAGGCAGCGGCCAAACGCAACAAGCCTCCATGGTCTGTCGTCAGCAGCCGGGAAGAAATTGGTGAAGGCCTGAAGGGACACGTGGAAGGTTAAGGCCCACAGACCGGCAAGAGGAAAAGGAAAAGAAAAAACTCAGGACTACTTACACTCTGATATTTTTTCCCACCACTAAGTTATCGATATAGTTTTGATTTTGTTAGAATCCAGCTGAGCCAATGATCCAATAAATTAAACCATGAGATGCAATATTAAATAGTCCATTGTCTAATTTAATCTAAATAAATGTGTCTCGAATATATACATATATACCAGTGCAATCCTTGATAAGGGCTAAAACTCAATATTTTACTCTACTAACACATGTATATTATGAAAATTAGAATTGTCATATATTTACAAATAAATATTTTTGTGCCTTGCAATGAGAGAGAAAAATCCATCAAGATAGTATTTTAAAATATATACCAATAATAACTTATATTATGGATGTTATGACCACAAAAAATAAATTATAGCTTTTAAATTTTATAAAAAAAGTAAAACATAAATATATATGTAACATTCCTGTCCTCATTTTTCATGCCATCTATCTTTATTGTATATCCAACAATTCAATTAATATTTTCATTGCATTTTAAATAGTTTTTATAAACACGTGTGTTGCACGGGCATATTTGCTAGTTCATTAAAAAAACTTCTTTGTCGAAAAATATCAATATAATAAAACGAAATTTTGAAAAGTTATGGGTTTATTGCGAACTGGAACTGGGTGTAAACGAACGACCTTTGACTTTGACCCGTGACAGTCAAATCTTCTGATTTCCTCGTCCTTTCCCCAGCTCCCACATCAGAACCTCGTAATGCGCTCGACCCACCTCGTCGGCGGCGACCTTGCTTCGGCCTCGGCGATGGGAGGCCACTCCGACCGTGTGTTCAGGGCGCTGGCGGGCGCCTCTCTCTACATCCTTATCCGCCGGTGGCGCGCCGGCGGGGTCGGCCTCAACGAGCGGCCGGCGCCGGCGGAGATCGCTGCCGCGGCTGCGCTCTGCACCTCCGTGGCGTGGCTGTACGTGCTCCCCGCCCTTGGTCTCCGCCAGAGCACGCACCGACGTCGGCACCAAGATTAGTTGACTTGACCAGAGGCTGCTGTTGCGTTGCTGGTAACCCTCTTTCTTCCTCTATTTTTCTAGGTTTGGAATCCGATTTTCCAGTTGCAGCCCGAGGAAATGTATGTGTAAGTACGGATACGAATTGTTGAAATGTTAGCCATTAAGAATGATCATTGTAAGTACGGATCTAATGGTCCAATTCAAGATTTGGCGGATCCCACAACTGTTCAATGGTTACTGGTTCATATTTCAATGTGTAGACATGGTAACCTTAAGCCAGTTACCTCTATGGTTACCAGTTACTGGACAAAGAGAATTTCTCAAGGTTGTTTGTTAATCTGCTGCTTATCTTCAAGTGATTATTTCTAACTTACAGTTCAAACACTTTGCCTGGGGCCTTTTAAGTCGCTAAACAGTCTCAACTCTCAAGACAACTTACACAGGTAGTTGTCATAATCTTGATGATTATGCCTAAGCCCATTCAAGAGGGTCCGCTTTCACACCCTTGTCACACAAAGTGACACCTCTCTCTCTCACCAGGAAGCTAAGCATTCTATAGTTGTTCACAATTTACTACTAAAAAAGTAGTATAAACATGGCTATTTGATACTTCATATCTCGCTGGTAGATGGTTCAATCACAATGTGATTTCGCGAATTACTTTGACTCCAATGCTTCCATGCCTCACCCTGTGATTCTGTTCCACTTGATTCTGATATAACTGAAGTTTCCAATGCCACCTATTCCCATGTCGTTTGCACTTCATTGGTATATATTTTTGCTCACATTATGTTTTTTTCTCAGCCCAACAACTAGACAAGGGTATAAATAGAAAAGATGAAGGGAGAATGATGCGTAGAACTATATAGGTGCTGTGGTTTTGCGAAGTTTCAGGAAAAGTAAAGCATGCTTGGTTGTGCTGCTGACCCTTTATTTTCCAGCTTCAAATTACTGGTTTTGGAAGTTCTACTTTAAATGAAAGTCAACCCTTTTTACTGGTCTGTTTACCCCTGCTCAATCATGATATATGCCACATAATTAAGGGAACTAAACATGGTCTACATTCTAGATATAAGGCACATACAAACAGGGTAGCTACATCCTTTTGCTTGGAGTGAAGCACACCTTCGCTGTCTAAGCTTGTGCTGTGAGTCTTCAAATCTGAGAAGTTCAAATTCATGTCCTAAACTTGTGAACTGTACATAGCAGCTGTTTAGGTACAAAATAGTAAGGCCAATCTGTGGATAACTGATTTTCTTAAATTCTTGTTTTTGGGTAACAAAATCAATTAGCATTCTGGTGATCTCACTCCGGTCATGAGTAAACATGCCTGCATCGCTCACCATCCTCCAGCGCTGGTGTTGTGCTGGCTGGGTCAAGCGGTGGAAGTCCTCCTTGTGATGGCTTTGGTGTGCTCCTCATCTTCAGAGACTGCTGTTTAGGTACAAAATAGTAAGGCCAATCTGTGGATAACTGATTTTCTTAAATTCTTGTTTTTGGGTAACAAAATCAATTAGCATTCTGGTGATCTCACTCCGGTCATGAGTAAACATGCCTGCATCGCTCACCATCCTCCAGCGCTGGTGTTGTGCTGGCTGGGTCAAGCGGTGGAAGCCCTCCTTGTGATGGCTTTGGTGTGCTCCTCATCTTCAGAGACTGCCACAACAGTTGGATCTTTTGACCAGCAATTGAATCAAGACTAATTAATGGGATCCCATTGGCCAGTTATCCTTTGATTTTATCGTCCTTTGGATTTATTTGTTAGAGATCTACTTGATGTTGCTGTTACTGTAATGTACTATGTTGTTTAAACAAACATCCATGTTCACCAGTATCTCTGAACCAAAGGATTGCCTTGGGCACCAGCTTATTGGTTCATTGGTACCATCCTGAAATAATCAGTCGCATGACTACCTGTGATTTTTGGAGTGATCTTAAAATTATGCCAGAATGCTTGACTATAAGGGATTGCTTGTCTTTTTGCTTATGTAAGTTTGCATGATATTAAGTTTCCTATTATGTCTTGCGCCACAAATGTGTAACTGGATGAAGAGTTTCTGGTAGTAACTCCAGACATTAAAGATTGAACAAAGCTGCTATTTGTTTGATATCAGGTGTATAATTGGATAGAGTTTTATGAGTAAACAATGTTTCAATAAAGCATTTGATTGGTTCTGGTTCGTCTCTGTCACATTGCTCACCACATTGTAAAGCACTGATTGTACTACCCCAAGTGATGTTCTTATAGCAAGTTTTTGCCATTGTTGGTGCACCGTCCCAGAGATTTCGATTCCCAGTAATGTTGGAGTATTCCCGGACCCCCTGTTGCCAAGATCATCTGAACAACACCTTTCAAGAACTCTACATACATGTTGAGGGAAGTCACCTATTATTATATTGATAAAAGTAGTTATGCATGCGTGTTTGTGGGCATGTTCTGTTTAATTTGAAAAAAGCAAAACTATTGAAAGGAAGGCGACAACTTTTATATTGCAAACAAATTCAGGACTTTTTTATGCCGTGCCTTGCTAAAGTCTAATATTATGCCGCATGTGCATCTAGAGATCACCTCATGTTCATCTACGTGCACTTTAAGGTTAATTGCACAATAACATTCACGAATTGGTGAAATTTTGCAAAGAAAATTTGGGGTACAGCCTTGCGCTCCCCGTCTTCACGTAGCACAAGGGAAGCTGTGGACTGTGGCACTGGGTCGTCACAGTCTCACAGCCGTGCAACATTGTATTGTCTTGTAATAAATTTTTTCTCTTGTTGCATCTACCTATATCAAAAAGAAGAAGAAGAAATGAGAATAAAAAACAATTGTTATGTTAAGAATATCAAAAAAAATGAGAAGGAAAAAAAGAGATCAAAATTGACGAACAAAAAAAGAGAACAAAATTGTTATGTTGAGAATATAAAAAAATAGAAGAAAACAAGATAACAAAAAAAATGTTGCTATGTTCAGAAAATAGAAAAGGAGAAGATAAACAAAGAACAAAAAAAGAGAACAAAATTGTTATGTTGAGAATTATCTAAAAAAGAACAAAAACTGCTGTTATGTGTTGAATCCAACAAAAAGTTATGTTGAGAATTATATAAAAAAAAGGAGAACAAAAACTGCTGTTATGTGTTGAATCCAACAAAAAGTTATGTTGAGAATTATATAAAAAAAAGGAGAACAAAAACTGCTGTTATGTGTTGAATATAAAAAGTAAAAAAAATATGTTGAGAGTGGGATTTGAACCCACGCCCTTTCGGACCAGAACCTTAATCTGGCGCCTTAGACCAACTCGGCCATCTCAACTTGATGTGAATATGCTTTTGAGATTATTTCTTTAACTGTTAGCACATTGAAGCCATACTTTTGTCTCATAGTACGTCAGAATCAATTTCTTATCCATGGCGACCACATTCCAGGATTCAAAATTCCTCTACTTTTAGTGTTCTCGAAGACAAGCAGAAATGTGTTTTTCTTATTGGAAACAGTTTTTCCGAAAGAAATACTATTATTTAGAATTGAATAGTTTATGTGTCAACTGAGACTATGGAAATAAAAACTGCCTTTGTAATTAAAGAAAGTGTATAAAATTATTTTTATAGTAGTGCCATGCAGAAATGTGTTTTTCTTTATAGGAAAGCGTGTGAGTATATATACATATGAATCATAGGAAAGTGTGGGAACTTAGCTAAGAACTACCTAGTTCACCCACCGCAAAATCAGAATCATAGATGTTTCCACCATGCCTCGTACGAGTGTCCACGCATGTACTGTGATTCAAGAGAAACCCATAACAATTGACTTGGATAATGGCGACGACTCCATGTTTAATGCTACGTCCTTATAATTGCAGCATGATAGCCGCATCTTGCCTTTTGTGCAACGAATCTTGTTAGTCCAATCGCAAAGCAAAGTGTAATCCCTAACAGCCAAAGTTCGCTGATAATATATAGGACAAATCAGAAAGCTAGTATGGAGTAACATTTAGTAATAAAATCCTTCGTCAGATCGGATTACAGATGGTGCCAACATATCCGTTTTCCCAAGGCAAGGAAGACAAATTTAATATACTTCCTGGTCCTGTTAGTTTGTTTTGCTACAAACTCCCTCCGGTGATAAATGAACTAGTAGTAACATTTTGAAGGAGCTGGCTTCATCAAAAAAATTTAAACTTTTTTTATGAATAATTTTTGGACCTCATGCGGCGGAGCAGCATGCCATAGTATAGCTCTTTCTAAACATGGTTTTCAGTAATTCATTGGCACTGCTCGGACTCCCGACCAGGCCATCGACCCAAACGCCTCCAAAAATCTGGACAAGCTTACATGGATCATATCTTATGAAGGTCCAGTTTAAATCCATTAGTGGTAATAGTTAGCTCCTAGCAACAGAGGTAAGCCAGCAAATAGCTTTTTTATTAGTGGGGATATTAGCTAATTAACCTACTAGTTGAGCTATGTTTGGATCCTTAATAATTAGTAGTATTTATCTTGGAGAAACCAGTCAATAACTTTTTTTATTAGTTAGGTAGTTCATTTTGAGTTATTAGTTAGACTTTTAGCTAGGGTATTTGGATTCACTATGCTAAGTTTAATTGCTAACAATTAGCATTAATAGATTTATTTGAACTTTTGGCTTTACTAATAGCTTTTTTGGAGGTCCAAAACTAGAAGCTCAAATAAACCTAGCCAGTTTTAAGTCTTTGAGAGCTCTTCTCCGAGTTTTTACGGTTTCGTCTATTTTTGTTTCACTCTCTCTCTCTCTCTCTCTCTCTCTCCTGTAAGTAGAGGAGGGAATTAAATTCTAATGTAAAATAGAGAATTAAATTCATAACTTTAGTTTTCAACAAACTAGAAGAATACCCGTGCATTGCTGCGAGACTTTGAAATAAAACATTTGTAGAATATTAAATTAAGTTATAGGAGAATGTGATAGGAAAATAAATAGTACAATATGGATATCTTGTATGTTGATAGACTAAAAATAGTAATTGCATGCAGTGGAAAATGCTATAGCA